GAGAGAGAGAGAGAGAGAGAGAGAGAGAGAGAGAGAGAGAGAGAGAGAGAGAGAGAGAGAGAGAGTAAATTGACAAAAATTTTTGCAGTTTTTCATCTGCTTCTAATCTGGGCTTTTTCAAGGTTCTTTTAACGAGATGCACGATGCCGCGAAAGTGGTAATTAACTGCAATGGCACAAGGAGCAAGACAGACAGAAATAACACTGCAATAACACAAAAAAGGATGAACAAATATATTGTTATAGTGACGCTTTCGGACCACCGATATCGGCTTGAGTGCCATCTGTGGTGTTGTGGTTGAGCATTTTGCCGTCGCACGCAGAAGACGTGGGTTCGCTTCTCGCATGGAGGGGGGATGGGGGGTCATTTTTATTGAGTATTCCCATGTGCGACGTTGTATCTCTCTCGGCCAGGGTTAGATCTAGCCCTGGCTGGCATAAACATATCTGCTATTACATTTAAATTGTCCAAGAGAGCTACCCATTGTTGAGGAGGAAAGTTGTTGTCTTAGACAGGTCGTGGACGTCTTGGGCAATGTCTTCATATTTTTGTTAAACGCAGGTGGGAGTGAAAAGTAGTCGTTTGCACAGATGATTGTCCTGGCGATGTTCAACTTTTTGAGTGTGTGCACAGCGTAGACAGACATCTCTGGGATGCATAGGCTCCGGGTTCGATTCCTTATTTTCGGACACTGACAATTGTTTGGGTTTTTTGGGAGTTGTTTGTTTGTCTGTTTGTGTGTTTGTTTTAAGTTTGTTAGGATGTAACCTTATGTGGAACACGTCACAGCAGATTTATGTGACAACTCATACGTCTTTCATTCTTTTCAGAAGTTAATTTTTATTCCATGAGCAAACAAAACTATAGATTCAAGCAAGAAACAAAAGCTCATCCATTAAAAAATAGAACTCGGCCTTGCATCTCGCGGCAATCGGGCTCTCTCACGGCCAGCACGCGCAGCTTGAGTTTGAGTTGTCCGAGACCGGATTCACGAATGTCTCTTGAATTTCCGTCATGAGGATCCCTGTAAATGTGGCGTACACCTGGTCGATCTTGCCGTACAGGGCGGTGCTGCCTTGAGCCACCACATTCACCTCGTCATTCTTGTTCACTTTCAGAACTACGTTGTTACCTGTAAAGATAGGAGGAGGAGGAGGGGGGAAAGGACAAGACAGGGGAGTATGACAACATGTATTTTTTAAAAGTCTTTGTATATTTGAGAGTCTTTTTAATACCTCTTCTTCTTCCTTTTTCCCTTCTCTCTCTCTCTCTCTCTCTCTCTCTCTCTCTCTCTCTCTCTCTCTCTCTCTCTCT